GGGTCAAACCGGTTCAGAAACTGTTTGAATAACTGCCCATGGAGTGTCCAGGGGTTCTCCGTCAGCTAAGTATTTTGACTGCTGCTGTTCAATTACCATTTGAGAAAGCAAGACTGCTGGGAAAGACAACACAACGTAAACCAACATTGGCTATAAAAGCATACAGTGTACCAATATTCACACTGCACAGCCCGGGGTTCAGAGGCGTTACCAAAAGCAACTTCACATCACACCGCTCAGTGACGCTCTTGGCCAGCAACGTTCAACACAGCCAAAGGTAAGCGGTCTTCAAGAAATCACGAGTGCCCAAAATACCTAATTTTATCTCTATAATAGAAACAGTAATTGACAAATCATTATTTTACATTTATAAAATATGTGATGAGGAACATACCACATGCATTCTAGACTTTCTGTCTGCACTGGAAATCAACTGGGAAATTAGGAGGTATGGCGTAGAAACATCACTACGAATATACTGTATTACTGCTTTTGCAGCTGCAGTCCCAGAATTTGTTTCACAATAATTCAGTTACCCATGTTTAAATAACCAGCCAGCAGAAGAAAGGCTGATATATTTCATATGCATTCTCTTTGAGCAGGGGGGCCTTCACGTCTGGTCGAAAAATGTCAGGCTCATATGACACCACCAAAGTCAGGAGAGATGCCTAACCATAACTAAAAGCAGAATTTGGCCAACACAATTGGAAAATACCAGCAGAGTATATACAAATGCACACACGCAACCTCATATAAGAGCAGAGCATGAGACAAATTGGATTTTTTTTTAATCACACCTTTTAAAAAAACAAAATTTCGTGTACAAACCCCTCGCTGTGCTCCTATGTGGTTCATTTATCCCACTACAGCATAAGCGGACGTACCAGAGCCTGTAGTAGGGGAGAAAGTTTTTTTCCTGGTTTTTTTTTTTTTTTTTTCCATTGAGGATTTTAAATACAGTTGGAAGAGCAAAAGAACAGATCTTCCAAACTGACTTCAATAATAGATAAGCAATTTTAAGACTACAACAATCAGCAAGTACGTACATAAGCTATACATGAATATATTTATCTGTATTTTCAAGAGAGCTTTATTTTTCCCCTTTGTTTCCATAGTTTCCTCTAGCACATAGTCCAGAAGAAAAAAATAGCTATCTTTCCTGATTCAGCAAAGCCACCCTTTTACAATGAATATCCTCACGGTTTAGATATTATTTCTCAAGAATCCTTACCCAAAGGCAAGCAGTCTGGCAGCTTCAGGATCAATTTCTACGAGGTTTGTATCATTGTAAGCTCGCTCTATGAAACACGTCCTTCAGAAAGGAAGGATTTTAGCTTGCTTTCTGCATGCAGTGCCTGACTCGAAGCTGCCATTCACTGCTCTGAGTTTCTCACCTGTTCCTGGTACACTTCCTGCTAACACCTGGGGCTTCAACCTTTTGCAAAAACAGGGTGAAAAATCGGTATTGGCAAAGCCATAACCAGCACAAAGATTTGAAGAGATTGCTAAAAATACAAGATTCTGAACCAGGGGATAACAGCATTTTTAACAAAATTAAACAGATAAACTTTGCTGCAAATTAAAAACAAGTCTCTTGTATCTGAGCCCATAATGACTATTTTGAATACAGATATTTACTGCTGCCAATAAAGAAATTTTTTGGTAACTTTTCTGTTATTGGGAAGAGCTTGAATACAATCCAGTCCAAAAAAAATGCTGACTTTCCTAAATAGGGGCTGTGTTTTTGCAATAAAGAATACTGGTCAATATACAAGTGAAGGAAAACTGAACCAGATGTCAGTAATAGGACCACAGAACGTTGCATTTGCCCAGAATCGCTATTTTAAACACACGATGTTGGTCTACTGGTTTGTGGGATAATACATTCTTGGCAGCCAGAAGGAGTTTCGATATGTTAGAAGGTTATCCTTGAGAAAAAAAAAAAAAAAAAAAGACAAAAAAAAAAAAAAAAAAAAAGCAAGCAGCAAAGAAGCAGAAGAGAGGTAGAGAAAGGCCACTAATTCATCAAGCTCCCAATAGCACAAAAAAAGTATGATGTACTCAGGAAATCAGTTCAAAGAAAAGCCAGTCTCAAAACAGGGAGCTTTGGGTTTACATCAATTTTCATTTTGTTTTACTATACTACTACTATTTCATTGTACTTGCCTTTTTTTTTTTTTTTTTTTAAAGGATTCTTCCCTCCATATACGCTCACTTTCTGGGCAAGCTGTCCAAGGAAACGCCGGTGAGCTCTCACCTCGCAGCTCCCAGGCAGGCGGACTGCTGGGGGGAACCACCGCACCCCAGCGACCGCACGCGCAACCCAAACCGCACAAAACCCAGTCCCGGAAACTTTTCGCCTCGGAAACCTTTGCTCACACGAGGATGCTGCTGCCGTCGCTGGGTTTCCTGGAGGAAGGTGTTGACAGGCTCAGGCCCCGCTGACCCAGGATCCCTATGGGCAGCCCTGGAAGCCGTATGCACACAGTTAGCATGGACTCAGGTCCCTAGCCATTGCCAGTTAAGTAGTCACCATCTCTAAAACGCTTTCTAGTTCACAGTTGCAAGGATTTGGGATGGGATTTTGGGGTTTTTTCCCCCTTTCTATTTAAGAAGTAGTTACATCTGTATGCCTGCTTAATATAGAAATAAAACTTCAAGATGCACTTTGTATGTTTGGCGAACAATCGCTTCCCTGTTTTACCACGTAGTAAATTTAAAAATCAACTCTGTTCGTTGTTTTAACAAACCCTCCTCTGAAAGATAATTAAAACCACTTCCCAATATACAACCAAAGTTTTATTTTTATAGTCTATCTTCCATTATGGCATAATCCTTTCTTTGTTTTTTAAACCAGTGAAATATACAAATCACGCAAGACAGAAATATGTACATTAAATGTACAGAACAGAGGAAAGGACATAGAAGATTTACATATCTGAATGACAAGTAAAATATTTTACATTAAATAGTGTTTTAATAGCTAGGATCATGAGATTCAGTTCTGCACAGACAAAAGTCACTAAAAAGGAACATGAGGTGATTCAGCAAATGAAAAAAAATCATCGTGGTTTTTGTACAATAAAAACCAAAGTGACATATTCGATGAATTAGTGCTTTATTTATTTATCTTACTTTATTCTTTGCAAACATCTGAAGATGAGGGGTAAATATGTCCTTGTACAATAAATTAAGAGCAATAAAGCGCCATTTAAGAAGCTGATAAATGATCAAGATGAACTTAACGATACAGCTTAAAGGCTCATGAAAAGTTAAGGCTTTAGTACAACCAGGCTAAAGTGAAAGATTTTCCTCACTGGGTATTTGCAAAACCATTTTCTTTAACTCGTTGGATGGGACTGAGTTGGAAAGAGGCATCTGAACCAATGGTGAAATCCTGTCTAACTACACAGCATCGGGGGAAACGCATATCGTTCAACAAAAACCAATTTCCATCGCAAAACCTGAAAAGCAAGGGCCAAATGCAGCATGTTTTAGAGTTGGAAGGTGTCTCCTTTCAGCAATAATCAATAATGCCCTTAACGTCAGAGTGGAACAGAAGCGATCTCCAGACCAGTATCAGTTCAAGTGCAGGGTGCTGCCTCTACCAACCACCCAAGAAAGTCCTAACGCTGGGAGGAGGCTTATTTCTTTGTGATTATCCTTAAAACTTTTGAATGATAAAAGCTTTTAAAAAGAAAATTAAAACAAACCACCAAAAGGTTAGAATCAATCTAAAAACCTGAAGAGATCTGGAAAAGAAAATGAGGGATGAACTGCCCCTGTAATTTAGACGTTTTATTATTATTTCTTAAATCATTAAAATATATATGTACAAAAAGCTTTGAAATATCAGACACCAGCAGACCACAGTTCTCCCATATATAAGTTACTGCTCAAGTATAGTCTGAACAGTTGTAGTGTATATCTGCAATATATTATCTAAAGCATGTGTATTAAAGACATAGGATGATAAATTTGGTATTGCTGCAACATTTCATTGAACTATAATAGTCAGTTAATGTTATTAAAATATGAAACTATTGTCTCCTTGAGTGAAAGCGTTCCCAAAATCTGCGAAAAAAATAAAAATCAATCATTCCAAGAGTGGCCATCTAATGATTTATTTTCTCACATAAAATTAGAGGAGTTATTTGTCAAGCTGTGTTTTGAAAGACAGCCAGCTATTACACTATTTTTAAGGCATTTTCAAATTTGAGGAATTCTATTTTCTATGGGCTTTCCAGGCTGGGAGACCAAAACTGTTTGCAAGCATGCAGCTCCCCTCCGCCCAGCTACAGTGCTCCACGCAGTCTGCACCTCGGCTGCTCTCCACACTCGCGAGGAGTGAAGTACTGCTCTGCAAGATGAGACACTCGAACGTCACGATTAGCTAATAAGGCCGAATGCTACCTTGAAGAATACCTTTATTATTCGTCAAGGCAGATTTTTTTTCTTTTTTTTGGTCTTGTTCGGTTCTGGAAGCAGGCACGGTGACTCAGGAATAGCACAGTTGAAGCCTTTACGATCCCTTTGCTCTTTACCTTCCAATGACATTGCGTACTTAAGATTTGCAACTGACACCGCACTTCATGATGAATGTACCCCTTATTTACAGAGCCCTAAATGTACTGAACAGCTTTATATACCCTATTCTGGTAACTTCTAGTGTCTGAAACTAAAAGTCACGGACAGGTCTGTGTGTTCCTCACATCCATAAGGATTCTTCTAACATCCCAAGCATGTTACATGGTTGCTCTGCCTACTGCACGTGTATTACATCCCATGGGACTAAATTAGGATATGTTGGATTTTCCCCTCAAGCTACTCTATTGTTTTTAAGAAAAGTCAACTTTTTTTTTTTTTTTTACTTTGTAAAATAAATATTCTCAAGTTCTCCCCCATTATTGCCAAAAATATAAGCCGCACACAGTTCTGGGATGGACGCAGAGAGGGTTTCCAGGCACTTCTCTTTGCAACCTTTATATTTTTCTTTTTTCTTTCTTTTTATTTTTTCCCCTTCCCCTACCTTTTTTTTTTTTTTTTTAAATGACGACAACTCGTTGGACTCTATAAATAAAGTGGAGATAGTCCTGTGGAAAAGGAGAGGGGCCTGCACCCCTTGCTGGCAGGTGGCTGCAGTTCCTCCCACCTCGTCCGTCCCCTATTTGCACACAAATTGGTCCACGATCTCTGTGCACAACTTGCATTTCACGTAGCAGCACCAGTGGAACTTGCAGTGGCAGCGCTCTCGCTGCACCGTCTTGAACTGGTCGTACCCCCGGCCGCAGCACATGAGTTCGCAGCCGTCCATGCCCTCCGAGGTCTTATTGCAAAGGCGGCCCTGGGTGCCCAGGGACCCGGTGCTCTCGTTGCGCACGCAGTAGTCAGGGCTGGGATCGATGTAGACCAGGTCGTGGATGGTGGGTGCGTTGAAGCGGCTGTTCACTTGCACCAGCTTGCCCCGGCTGTTGAGTTTCATGGCAGCAGCGCTATCGTATTTCTCCTTCAGGGCATCGCCTACCTTGCGGAAATCGGCAAGCTGCAGCCAACAGGTCTTCAGGCTACAGGAACCAGAGACGCCGTGGCACTTACAGGCCACGTCAGCCAGGTTGTACACAGTCTGGAGAAGCCAGGGAGAGAAAGCAGAAGGGATGATGAAAGAACAGCATGGCTGTGAAAACTTTTATTCCCCTCGGCTCCTGCCCTCCGTTACGTTCCCACTCGCCCCTCCGCAACATTCGCCTCAGCGTCCTCGTCCCTCCTGCAATACGCTGGGAGGGAAGAGCGAGCGAGCAGACACACGTGCACCCCCAGCACCCCCGTTAGTGGGGAGGAGGAGGGGAGCGCTCTCGCCAGCCTCTCCCCACCGCAGAGACAGCCGCAACAGCACAGACGCAGCCCAGACAGCAGCATCAGTCAGGCTGCACTCAAATTTTAGGAATTCGCTCTCACGCCAGCAAAGGATTTTGCTGTTTCATTGAGAAATGTAAAACATCCCTTTATTTTCTATCTGAGTTCCTCTCTCTATTGATCTCTGCTTGAGGCTGCAATTTTTTTGGAAAGAGTTAAGATTCCTCTTGCTCCTGGCTCAGCTGCAGCTGATTGTCTACTCTTGGCTCAGCATCCTCCTCCTATCCCAAATACTGCTCTGCAAGAGAGACTTCGTCCAAGAAGAAACCCCCAAACACCTATGGGTGGGAGACAGAGCTACATAGCAATATCCTCTTTACAAAGCTTTGGCAGGGAAATATCAGTCATTTGCCCTGTACAAATAGAAATAAGAGTCAGTGTTGACACTTCCCCAAAAATCCTGGGGTCTGACACATTAGATGATACTGTAGACAACTTCCACCCAGCAGTTAGAGAGTCTTAACGCTGCCAAATGGCACTGCAAAGATGAGGCTGAGGAAGGAAAAAACGGCTCGAGTCTCCGTAAGCAACTGTGAAAGTGTCATTTTTCTTCTTGCTAATAGTAAATTGGCGTGCCCATTGCTTTCAGACACCCTCCTCTCACATTTAAATACTATTAATTTTCAATTATCTTTCATCCTTCTTCACCTTAGAACACAAGTGTAAAGTCTCCAGCCGACTATTTCTGGCACTTCAAGCTCTAGGAAAATAATGATTTTGGCTCTTCATATTCAGACTATTAAAAAAAGAAAAGTTTACACCCATTCATTTAAGGCATTTTTGAGATTAAAGAAACCATAAAGACATGTTTAACCACAGAAGACCATGTTTTCTAATAATATGGAGGAGCTTTTCACATCCTCTTAAGCTTTTACCATCCTCGTAAAACAAGGAAAAAAAAAAAAAAAAAAAAAGTCAGAACAATCCTGCGGCACAATTCCAGCCTGGGAAGCCCAGCGCGTCCCTCTTCCCTCTGACACACACTGTCCTGGTTGGAAATACAAACTAATAAAATTCTGTTCTACAGAGGATCCACAGCGAGCAGGGCACTTTCAATGAAACAACACGGAGGGAAACACAACTCGCTTTGGTCCCAGTCCTCCCCCGTGGGGAAGCAATAGGGCTGTCAGACAACCAGGAGCAACCCAAATTCATATCCTCCCCACCCACCTACACCCTGTATTTGCTGTTTTCTTGTTTTGTGCGTCGAAACGGAGACAAGCCGGGGTGGGTGGTCACCGCCCCGCGCTGCTCTGTGCCCCGCCAAGGCACGGCTTCCCCCCAAAGGAGGGACGTGGACGGGGACAGAGGGACACGCTGTTTTGCAGCCACTTACTCTTCTCCCGGCCTCGTTGTTGTGCAGGTTCATCATGATGCGGGCGCTCTCGTAGGAGCCTCTCTGGTAAACTCTCTC